TCAATAAAAGAAAAGATAAAAACCATATGATCCTGTCAATAGATGCAGAAAAAGCATTTGACAAAATACAGCATCCCTTCTTAATAAAGACTCTCGAGAAAGTTGGGATAGAAGGAACCTACTTAAACATCATCAAAGCCATCTATGAGAAGCCTTCAGCTAACATCATCCTCAACGGGGAAAAACTGAGAGCTTTCCCCCTGAGATCAGGAACACGACAGGGATGTCCACTCTCACCACTGTTGTTTAACATAGTGCTGGAAGTCCTAGCATCAGCCATCAGACAACAAAAGGAAATCAAAGGCATCAGAATTGGCAAAGAGGAAGTCAAACTTTCACTCTTCGCAGATGACATGATACTCTACATAGAAAACCCGACAGACTCCACCAGAAGCCTACTAGAACTGATCCAAGAATTCAGCCAAGTTGCAGGGTACAAAATCAACGTACAGAAATCGGTTGCATTTTTATACACCAATAATGAAGCAACAGAAAGAGAAATCAAGAAACTGATCCCATTCACAATTGCACAAAAAACCATAAAATACCTCGGAATAAACCTAACCAAGGATACAAGAGATCTGTATGATGAAAACTATAGAAAACTTATGAAGGAAATTGAAGAAGACACAAAGAAATGGAAAAACATTCCATGCTCATGGATAGGAAGAATAAATATAGTTAAGATGTCATTACTACCTAAAGCACTCTACACATTCAATGCAATTCCAATCAAAATTGCACCAGCATACTTCTCAAAACTAGAACAAACTATCCAAAAATTTGTATGGAACCACAAAAGACCCCGAATAGCCAAAGTAATACTGAAAAATAAAACCAAAACGGGAGGTATCACCATCCCAGACTTCAGCCTCTACTACAAAGCTGTCATCCTCAAGACAGTATGGTATTGGCACAAAAACAGACACATAGACCAATGGAACAGAATTGAGAACTCAGAAGTGGACCCAAAAGTATACAGCCAACTGATCTTTGACAAAGCAGGAAAGAATATCCAATGGAAAAAAGACAGCCTTTTTAACAGATGGTGTTGGGAGAACTGGACAGCAACATGCAGAAGAATGAAACTAGATCATTTTCTCACACCATGCACAAAAATCAACTCAAAATGGATAAAGGACCTGAACGTGAGACAGGAAACTATCAACACCCTAGAGGAGAAAGCAGGAAACAACCTCCTTGACCTCCACCGCAGCAACTTCTTACTTGACACATCCCCAAAAGCAAGGGAATCAAGAGCAAAAATAAACTGTTGGGACCTCATCAAGATTAAAAGCTTCTGCACAGCCAAGGAAACAACCCAGAAAATTAATAGGCAACCAACGGAATGGGAAAAGATAGTTGCAAATGACATATCAGATAAAGGGTTAATATCCAGAATCTATAAGGAACTCACCAAACTACACGCCCGAAAAACAAACAACCCAGTGAAGAAATGGGCAGAAGACATGAACAGACACTTCTCCAAAGAGGACATCCAGATGGCCAACAGACACATGAAACGATGCTCAGCATCCCTCCTCATCAGGGAAATACAAATCAAAACCACACTGAGATACCACCTCACGCCAGTCAGAGTGGCTAAAATGAGCAAATCAGAGAACTCTAGATGCTGGCGAGGATGTGGAGAAACGGGCACCCTCCTACACTGTTGGTGGGAATGTAAACTGGTACAGCCCCTCTGGAAAACAGTGTGGAGGTTCCTCAGGAAACTAACAATAGAACTCCCTTATGACCCAGCAATAGCACTGCTAGGAATTTACCCAAGGGATACAGAAATGCTGAGGCATAGGAGCACATGTACCCCAATGTTCATAGCAGCACTCTCCACAATAGCTAAAACATGGAAAGAGCCTAAGTGTCCATCAACAGATGAATGGATCAAGAAGATGTGGTTTATCTATACCATGGAATACTACATGGCAATGAGAAACAATGAAATCTGGCCATGTGTAGCAACATGGATGGACCTTGAGGGTGTTATGCTGAGCGAAATAAGTCAGGCAGAGAAGGACAAATATCATATGTTTGCACGTATAGGAGGATTAGGAGGAACTTGACGGAGGAACAAGGGGGAGAAGAAGGGCGGAAATGGTGGGGGAAAGGGAGAGAGGCAAACCATGAGAGACTCTTGAATGCTGACAAAAACTGAGGACTGATGGATGTGGGGGGGAGGGGGGGATGGGCATGGAGGAGGGCACTTTGGGGATGAGCACTGAGTGTTATGTAGAAACTAATTTGACAAGAAACTATTTGTAAAAAAAACAAGAAAAAAAAAAAACAATACTATCTTTTGCGATGGTGGAGTTTTTAATTTTAGAAGGCCTGGAAAGAAATGAAGAAGTGTGAACAAATATTTAGAAGATTGCTTGAGCATATAAAACTGGCCAATTTCAAAGATGGACAAATTTTGTGCCTGGGAACTCTATGCTCTGAAATATTTTTGATTATTCATTTTCTAGAATTCCTTGGACTTATAATTCAAGGTTTTAAAAACCAAACCAATAATAAAACTGGATGCAACTGCCCAGACAACACACGCAGCAATACCAGAGAAACATAAAGAACAAGTTTTCCATTGGAGATGTTTTAATTCACATTTTCTTTAATATTGAATTTGTCATCTTTCCACAAATACATTACTATTCAAGAGATTTTTCCGCAGCTATTTTTCTTTTAGAAAACAGATTTATAATTAATTCATATAAAACAATTGTAAGTTTTAACTGCTGCTTCAATTGGCAAATTATTCTAAATGATCAGGATAGGAAGGTAGAACATTCTAGAGAGTGAGGCCAAAACCTCAAACCAAAGGGCTCCTTTATCCTAAAAAGGTAAAAGGACACATATTTTCTGTTAACTTAGCTAGGGACTATTTCCAGCTGCTTAATTTTATGGACTGATTTGATATTAAACCTTAGGAGAGATAGAAAAATCAATAGTTAAAAGGGCAGATTATTAGTGGGAACAGTAAATAAACTATTACTTAAATAAAGAATGTAACAGTAGCAAAAGCAGGTAAAAATTGAAAATTGGTAAGAAAAATATTGGAGAAATAAATAATGAGGATGAAACTGGGATACACTGATGAAAACTGGTCAAAAACAACCAAAAGCTTATACTGGGAAACTAATAAGTACCTGACAATATACCAGAAGTTTTATATATGTTCTTTCAATTAATCCTTATGACAAGAACTGAGTTACTATTATCATCATCATCTCTATTTTTCACATTAAGAACTAAGGCTCAGAGAAGTGGCTTGCCCAAGGCCACAAAGCCAGTAAGTGACAGACCTTGTATTAAAACCCAGAACTGATGTCAAAGTTTAACCACTCTATACCATTTCTAGCTAGGTCCCATTTTTCAGGGGGTAAAGGAAGAAAATAAAGTATAAAGTACCTCTCAGGGTTAACTGAAATAGAATTTCTTATAATTTTAGTGATAACCCTTGAAAAAAGAAATAGGTCTGCTGTTTTTCTCTTCCCGACCACCTTCTTTTTTTTTTTTTTTAATGTTTTATTTATTTCTAGGAGAGATAGAGAGAGACAGCGTGAGCAGGGGAGGGTCAGAGAAAGAGGGAGTCACAGACTGAAGCAGGCTCCAGGCTCTGAGCTGGCAGCCAGCACAGAGCCTGACGCGGGGCTCGAACCCACGAACCGCGAGATCATGACCTAAGCGAAAGTCGGACGCTTAACCGACTAAGCCACCCAGGCGCCCCTTCCCGACCACCTTCTAATAAAGCTGGGCAGAAGAGTGGGATTTGGCCAAAAGTGAAAATTAAGCAGCTGGAAAATGTATCATGAAGAAAAACAGCCAATATTAGATGTATTTTACCTCATTCTCAGAGTTTAGAATGAGAGGACAAATTAAACTTAGGTTTGAATACGTAATATAGTAACATAGTTCAAAAATCAAAACAACACTAAAATATACTCGAAAAATGGTCTGATCCTTACCTTTGCCTCCATCCATCTCATTCCCTTTCTCCCATCAAGGTTAGACACTTTTATTTAGTTCTTTGTGTACCCTTCTAGAATTTCTTTATACAATTATTAATGTGCTTACTTCTCTCCTTTATTACACATACTGTAGATACGATTTGCACCTTGCTCTTCTCACTAACAATATGAGAAAAATTAACAATAAAATAGCATAAAAGCCCTTTAGGGAATTGAATTATTTTAAAATCTGACCCAAATTGACACTGACAAATAGCATTGTTCTAGTACTAAAACTGAACAGAACAGTATTAAATCCCAGGCTTCAAAATACAAAAAGCATTCAGCTATTAACCATTTGGAAATTATTAAGTATTTTGTAATATAATAGCCTTTCTCTTTCATCTACATTTCCTCCAGTTACAAATGTGAAAATAACTTTTTGCCTTAGAGCCTTTTCCTTTGGACCTACAAGTTAGCATTATTGTTGTAAGAGGACTTTCCAAACATAGGTTTAAATCCTAGAAAATCTTTGAATACTGAGCCTCAAGCTGAACATACTACTGAATATAGAAAAGCCAGGGAACAGAAAGGTAATAATTTATTGCCGTGAATCCAATTTTAGAAACTCAAACTATCTAAAAAGGCATAAAAATGTCTAACCAAACATCTGATTCTTTTGATGTATAACAAATCATACTGCAGGACACTTTAAAAATAGAGTGATAAAAAGATAAACAATGATAACTTTGTTAACTATAAAAACATTGGGATTATTGATATAAATGAAAAATATTATAGCTACTAATGCTGAGACTAAAGACAAAACTGAGAAAACTGAACAATTAAGTAATTAATGGCCAGCATTAATGGACAATGAACAAGATAAATGGTCATAGGCTAGGAGTCATGGTGACAGCTTTCAGTCACTAATGACACAGCCTCCAGGAACTCTGGTCTCATTATTAGATTTCATTACAAGTGAGTCAAAGCATTTGTCATAACACTAAATCAGCTATAAAACAAATTCTCACTTACCTTCCCTGTTAGAATGGAGGGAAATTCAGTATCAAACTTGTTGCTCAAGCCAAACCTTAAAAACAAAGAAAAAATATATATTCTACTCAGCATATTTAACTCTTTACCCCCTCCCTTTTCCTGTTACAAAGCCATGCACTTCTGTTTTGATGCTGTGATTTAAAAATATGTCTTAAAAATAACTTTACAATATTTATAGAATATAAATCTTTAACTATTAATCTGAATTAACAGTAAAAGAAACTTAAGGTGCAAATCTCAAAGAAGGATTCTAACTACGTCAAGGCACAATATGGGATTAAACAATAACAAATTAGAACTGGAACCAAAATTTTTGATTGAAATGTTTCTGTTAAACCTCATTTCAGTTGATAACTATTAGAACTGGCTGATTGGTATCTTGTAAGGTGTCTATTGACTATTCATATATATATTTTAGTGTAGTTTCTGTTCAAATCTTTCACCTAATTTTATTATTCTTTATATATGTTTCTTTTTCTTCTTTTTCTTTTTTAAGTAGGTTTCACACTTGCGTGGGTCCACCAAGTGAGATTATGGAGTAATTGGGAATATAAAATTACACAACCATGTTGGAAGTCTGTTGGGAAGCTTCTTAAAATGTTATACATAGATCCACCCAACGATCCATTAATCTTGTTCTTGGGTACTCATCCAAGAGAAAGAAAACATATGTTGGGGCACTTGGGTGGCTCATTTGGTTAAGTATCCAACTCTTGATCTTGGCTCAGGTCATGATCCCACGGTTTGTGGGATAGAGTCCCTGCATTGGGCTCTGTGCTAGCAGTGCAGAGCCTGCTTGGGATTTTCTCTCTCCTCTCTCTGCCCTTACCTGCACATGCTTGCTCGCTCTCCCTCAAAATAATAATAATAATAATAATAAACAACTTAAAAAACAAAAAGAAAACATATGTCTACAAAAAAGTTTATGTAAGAATGCTTATAGCAGCTTTATTCATAATAGCTCCAAACTGGAAACAGCCTAGATGTCCACCAACAGGTCAATGCATAAACAAATGATGGAGCACAAATCAGCAATAAAAATGAATGAACTATTTATACACATAATAACCTTGATGGATCTCAAAAACATTGGCAAGTGAGAGAAGCCACACACAAAAGAACACATATCAACAAACTCATTTATATGATATGCTATCACAAACAAAACCAATCTGAGGTGATAGAAATCAAACCAGTGCCTGGCTGCGGTGGGTTGAACTTAACCAGAAAGTAGCATGAGGTAACCTTTTTGGTTGATGGGTGTGTTCTCTATCTTGATTGTTGTGTTGGTTACATTGGTGTGTATATTTCTCAAAACTGATTAAACTGTACAGCTAAAATCTAAAAAAAAAAAAAGAACTGGCTGATTGGTAGTATGTAGGAGTGGATTATACTATTCTATCTACTTTTATGCATATATGAAATTTTCCTAATAAAAGTGAATAACCTTTGGAACTATAGTTTGAAAACTTATGATCAATTAGTATTCAGATACTCAAAGTTTGATCTTTATGGATGGTTTTCATGTAAACAAACACTCAATTAGTTTTCAGAAAACAGGTCTCAGTCTTGAAAGCTCTGACTCTCTTCAAGTAAGCTCACTGAAGTCTGTTTTAAGAACTCAAGATGAATTTTACTACCCGTTAATCACCTACTTGTTGTTGATTTCAGTAGGGATAACAAAGGTCATTTTCTGCATCTTAGATGATATATCATAGTGACTATACTTTTAAAGTATAGTATAGTTGGGGCACCTGTGTGGCTCAGTCGGTTAAGCATCGACTTCAGCTCAGGTCATGATCTCACAGTTCGCGGGTTCAAGCCCCGCGTCGGACTCTGTGCTGACTGCCAGCTCAGAGCCTGGATCCTGTTTCAGAATCTGTATCTTCCTCTGCCTCTGACCCTCCCCTGCTCACTCTGTCTCTCTCTCTCTTTCTCTCTCTCTCTCTCAGAAATAAATAAAACATTAAAAAAATAAAGTATAGTGTAGTGTAGTGTAATGTAATGTAACATTATTAATGGATGATGGATTGTAAGCAAAAATGAAAAAACAGGAATATTTACTGGGAACTCTTGGTGAAACAGGCAATAACGATGACAGTTACCATTAGCTACCACTTACCATGGGCTAGATAGACACTGTGCTAGATAAACACATTACTTCTAATGTTTACAACCCTGCAAGAATGGTAATCATCCCCCTCTTATAAACAAGGAAGCTGTCACTAAGATTTTTTTTTCAAAAACCAATTAAATGACTTTGCCCCAAGTCATGTATCTAGTAAGATGGGGAGGACCAAAATTCAAATTCTGATCTTTAAGTTCTTTCTGTCTTTTTAAATTTTTTTTATTTTTTTTTTAATGTTTTATTTATTTCTAGGGGAGAGAGAGAGAGAGAGACAGCGTGAGCAGGGGAGGGTCAGAGAGAGGGAGTCACAGACTGAAACAGGCTCCAGGCTCTGAGCTGGCAGTCAGCACAGAGCCCGACGCGGGGCTCGAACCCACGAACCACGAGATCATGACCTAAGCAAAAGTCGGACGCTTAACCGACTAAGCCACCCAGGCGCCCCATAGGTTTCATTTTTTAAAGGAGACATACATTTTAAACTAGAGCTCTATTTCCATATCTTCTCTGAACACTTTTAGATGTGATGTCAGTAATATGTTCCTGATTTAGAGTCTGGGAAGATGGTGGAGTAGGAAGATCTGAATCCCACCTCATCCTACAGATACACCTAGATAACAGCCATATCAGTGCAATGAACCCAGAAAACGACCAGAAGATTGGCACAACAGACTTTTCACAGTTAACTATAGAGAAGAGGCCACACTTGGAAAGGGTAGGAAGGGCAGAGACAGGTCAGGAACTAAACTCCCGGTGCAGCTAACCGCAAATGGATAGGACACCACAAGCACTGAGAAGTGAGAGGAGCAGGACCCTTACCAAATATCTCAGACCCAGGGACTTACACTGGGAAGAGAAGTCCCCATAATATTTAGCTTTGAAATACAGTGAGGCTTAATTTTGGGTACTTTAAAAATCAGCAGGATTAGCTATGAGCGAGCCAAAAGGCAACAGGAAACTGACTCCCTGCCCTTAAAGAGACAAGCATAGCATAACAAACAACCCCACTGAGATAAAGCATTGAAACAAAAGTTTGAAAAGCACCTGTGATATACGGGAAGATTTATTTACTAATCTGGGGAAGGGATCTAAAGTCTCCTAAAGGAGACTTTCCAAGAAAAAAAGAGCTGGTGGGTATCATCCCCACCCCCACCCTAGATAGCAGGAGACCTGTGGAAATCAGTGAGAACACCCTCCACCTACCTTACTAACACCATGCACCCTGCCCCTGTGTTCTCCTGTGGATCTACCCCATCCAACCTGCGGGGTAGGTGGAGAACTCCCCAAAGCAGCTCCTGCCACATCTTATCCTGTAAGCAGCCCTGGCAGGATCCAGCCACACTCCAAAATGACTCCTACTTGAGAAGAGGGAAAGATAACCACACACCAGTTCAAATGTAGCACCAGCAGCCAAACCTTATAACTGGCAGGAAAGACAGAGTGCTCTGTTGATCACTGCCTCTGTAGCCCCAGCAGATGAATTGGGGGTAGGCATCTGATCTGATTCCAGGCCCCGCTCACCAACAAAAACCTCAGGGGGCAGCACAGAGAGAGGGTCCTATAGTTTGTGGTCACTGCAGCCCCAACACATGGACTGGAGCAGGCATTTGGTTTGAATGAAGGCTCTGCCTACCAACAAAAGCCTCTCCAGGAATAACACAGGCAGAGTGTCCTGGAGTTTGGTGTGATCACAATACCAACAAACAAGCGGAGGGCAGATTTCTGGTCTGACTCGTGACACCACCTAACTATAAGCCCAGGGTAGCTCCAGACTGACCCTTTAACAGCATAGGGACCAAACCCTGCCCTGTGCATGCCCAAAACAGGCAAAGTGGGCCACTGTGGCCAAGTGGACTGAAGGCAAATGCTGCCCATCCAGCCACAAACAACAGTAGGCTGCATGCAATCCACATACGAGAGACCCCTGATGTATCTGGTTCTGGTAAACAGGGGACATTGGTACAGGGCACAATAGGACCTCTTTATCATAAGACCACTGCTTTCAAGATCAGGAGACCTAACTGACTTTCCTAATGCATAGAAACAAACACAGAGAGACAAAATGAGGAAACAGAGGAATATGTCCCAAATGAAAGAACAGGACAAACACACCACAAAAGAGCTAAATGAAAGGAGATAAGCAATAGCCTGATAAACAGTTCAAAGTAATGGACATAAAAGTATCTATTGGACTTGGGAAAAGAGTGGAGGATCTCAGTGAGACCTTCAACAAACAGATACAAAATATAAAAAAACAAGCAATCAAAAATGAAAAGCTCAATAACTGAAACAAAAATACACTAGATGGAATCAATAGCAGATTAGAGACAGAAGAATTTATCAGCAGCCTGGAAGACAGAATAATGGGAAGCAACCAAGGTGAACATCAAAAAGAAAAAAGAATTATCAAGAATAGGTTAAGAGAACTCATTGACATCATCAAGTATAATAACATTTACATTACAGGGATTCCAGAAGAAGAAGAGAGAGATAAGGGGGCAGAAAACTTATTTGAAGAAATAATAGCTGAAAATGTCCTTAATCTAGGGAAGGAAACATATCCAGATCCAGGAGGAAAAGAGAGTCCTGAACAAAATCAACCAAAGGAGGTGCACACCAAGACACATAATAATTAAAATGGTAAAAACTAGTGATAAAAAGAATTAAAAAAAAAAACAGAGAAGAGCTATACACAAGGGGAACTCCATAAACTATCAGCTGATTTTTCAGCAGAAACTTGCAGGCCAGAAGGTAGTGGCATGATATATTCAAAGTGCTGAAGGGAAAAAATCTGCAACCAAGAATACATTACCCAACAAGGGTATCATTTAGAATAGGAGACAGTTTCCCAGACAAACAAAAGTTAAAGGTGTTCATCACAATGAAACCAGCCTGACAAGAAACATTAA